TCTTACCTTTAATCTTGCTGTGCTACACTTAGAAACCACAGTTGCTTTCAAGTTTCACAAGTACTTAAGTCTCTAAGGATGTTAAATATTCTCCACAAGATACATTTGAGCATGTAATTTTTAAATCACTTACAAAATGGTTGATGAGCACTTCTATATAAAAGAAAACCCAGTTTCATTTAGTTTCCATAAACTATGCAAAGAAATCTTCCCAAAGGATCTAAGCTCTGAAAAACCTAGATAAAAACACTAATACAGTGAATTTTACCTCACAGATTTTATTCAAAAACCTGAGCTATGCCAAGTAATCACCTACACGTAAGAGGTCCACAAATACACACACACACACACACACACACACACACACACACGAGACAGAACGTCTACTCCTGGCTCCCCAGCTAGAATGCAGTGGCACCATCATAGCTCACCTCCACCTCCCCAAGAGTTGAGATTACAGGCGTCAGACACAAGGCGGAGCTAATACTTCCATTTTTAGTTGAGATGGGTGTCTAGCCTTGCTCAGGCTGGTCTCTAACTCCGGAGCTCAGGTGATCCACCCGCCTCTGCCTCCGCCTCCCAGGGTGCCAGGATCACAGGCGTGAGCCACGGCGCACAGCCCATTACTTTGAAGTAATATAGTCTACTCAATAAAACAATTCTGGAACTATGGCCTCTGCTAGCGCTTCCTCCCTAGGAAGGGGTTACACCTGTAACCCCTGCACTCTAGAGGGGAGGCCGAAGGAGGTGGATCGCTTAAGCTCAGGAGTTCAGAGACCAGCCTGAACAAGAGTCAGACACCCTCCACCCCTCTCTAAAAAACAAACAAACACACACACACAGCTGGGCGCCGTGGCGGGAGCCTGTTGTCCCATCTACTCCGGAGGCTGAGGCAAGAAAGTAGCTTGGGCCCAAGAGTCTGAAGTTGCTGTGAGCTATGACGCCACAGTACTCTACCAGGGGCAATTAAGTGACACTCTCTCAAAAAAAATAAAACTATCACTCCACAATAAATCCATCCACTAATACCTTAATTTCATGCTTAAATTCATTACTTCTAACTGAATTACCAAGCAGTCGTTGCTAAACGAGGAATTTTTTAACCAGAAATCTTTGCATGATTCGAATTCTCAGAATGGAGGCTCAGGGAAACTTCATCCCAAGATGCGGCCAGAGCCACGGTTTTAACAAGTAGTAGTAACAAATTGAAAAGGCTGCTTTTCGAGGCCTGCTTGCATAGTAACAGTGGCCTGAAGGTTTTCTGCCACTTTTTTAGTTAGTAAACAATTGCTAGGCTGTTGTCTACTTCGGAATCTCACTGTGATTCTATAAATCATTTAGCACATACTGACCTGAGTTTTTCTCCACCAAATGCCAATTGAGAAACTGTATGGTACCAAGTAAAAATGCAGGGGGACAAGTTCAAATAAGCTCTTTGTTTGTGAGCCATGTATTAAACACCCGTTAAAGAGATTTCAATTAAAATAAAAACATCCCTTTAAGGCACTAAAAAGCCTCCGATTTATGGTAACGAAATTAAACTCACTAATCTCTTAACACTGAACAGAGGGGTCAAAACTCGGGTATGAAAAGGGGAAAACTAAAACTGTAAAAACTAGTAGGTTTTCAACTTGACGATTTTGGTAAGCGCCTTTTTCTACGAAAGTTAGAAGTGGCTTCGGAAAGAGTAAAATCATTCCCAGTCACCAGCAAGGAACACGCCCAGTAGGGTATGAACAGACACAGCAAGGGCGGACAGGACCGCCCGGAGCCAAATCCGCCAGGAGAAAAGCCGCGCGCCGGAAACTCCCAGCTCGAGTTCCCGTCCTTTTCCCCTCCCCCCCAGGCGGGCAGCACTGAAAGCTGAGGAAGCGCCGGACTCGCGCACGCCGTCCTACGTCACTGCGTCTTCTACCCCCTGCTACGGGTTGCCTGACGTCATGAGGCGGGGCCCACCGGAAGAAGCCACCGTTGACCCTGCTGTTACCAGGCGTGCGCACAGCCAATCAGCACTCGCGCCGGCGCCGGCCGGCCTTTGAACTCGGCACGGCAACTTCCTGCTGTTTGGCGAGTACACAGTGCAATGCAGTATGTCTGTCAACGCTGCGGCACAAAGGAACAGCCATTTTGTGACTGAGCTGGACCTGCACCAAAATGCCAGGGTCTCAGAAAGCTGCGACCGGCGCTATCGAACCCTTTATTTCAGCACCAGAGTACCAAAAGGGAAAAGGAAGGGCGGGGGGAGAGGTTTCTGTATTGCAGGTTTCAGTTATTTTTCAGTCTTCTCGAAAATCCCGATTTTTAAAGTATTATCAGCGTCATAAAATGGCTGCCACTTGAACTACTTTACTTGTTCCAGTCCACAAGCATCTGCATTATGCCATTTCTAATCATTCCCAGCCTTTAAAAATAACTGCTAATGCTGATGGGAACTGTACGATTTATCCGTATCTCAGGTTATCAGAATAAATCTGGCTCAAAGGCAGACGATTTTGAGGTAAATTTAATAAACTTTCAGTCCTTAAGCTTAAACTGCAAACGTAGCGTCCTAGAACGCAGAACTCTGCACTCAGTTCCGTTCTTCTCACCCGTTTCCATATTTTCTGATAACACTAAAGTTATTTTCAGCTGCAAATTTAATTTTAAAAATAGGTGGTATAGTTTTTATATACATATCCATCACTAAACCTTTGTTTAGAAATTTTAAAAATACTTGTTTTTAAAAACCACTTTTGAATTTTTCAATCTTCAAAAATCGTGATTGTTGACACATTAGACGTAAACATTAACTTCCAAAGAATACAGGAAAGAGGCATACAAACTTACATAATCCCTATTAAGTACTGCACCGTTTCCAAAAACAGTAAAATACCAGAAGTTTACCTAAAATTGCACTCATTCCTCCAGATCCTGAATTAATTCTTAAACCAAAAGTTTACCTGACCTGCAAATTCCTCTCCGCTTTTGTGGCTCTGGCTACAGAAATGACTTTTGCAGTATTACCTAAACACTATTCCTTTGGTGCCATAAAACCTCCTGGTGGCATTAGGAACCAAGCAGTAGTCACACAGTCCCTATTCAGCTCACTAGAAGTAACACTTGTATCTAACATTAAAACACCACTAACATCCTTTAGCTTTACAATTTTAAAAGGAAATGATGTCATAATCACGTACATGTATTAAGGCATGCAATTTAGGGTTAACAGTAACTTAAAAGTAACTTCATCTTTTCATCAAGTTGTCTCTCAAATATTTTTGGACGTTCATCAAGTCCATGTTCCAATGTATATATGACAAAAACATTTAAAAGTACAGTACATGCTTCTGGTTCAGCTGTAACCCCCTCTACCAGTAAGCAAATGCATGACAACTTCCAAGTAGTTTTCCAGGTGACAGTAAAAATACTAAAAGAAACGAAACATTGCTCTATTTTTTTTTTTAATTAGAAAGCATAGTCTATCAATGATGTTAACCACAAACCTGGCATTAGAAAACCAAAACCCATGTGAAACTATGCAAATGATATACTCAGGGGAGTAACAATTTTAGTATCGAATCTTTAATACTTTCTAAAATATACCTGGGCTTTCTCATTTCTTCTAATTGTCATTACCTTCCAGAAAAATCAGTGTAGTCTTGGTACTGAAGTTTTCTGTCCTTAATATAATCTGGTATAATTACATAGGCAATTCAGTTAAGACAGTAATCCAAACTGTGTGACACTCAGATTTGCAAAATATTAACATTTTTAAAAGCAAGGCTCAATGTATTTTTAGCCTAATAAACAGAATTCAACATTTGTAATAAACCATGCACAGCCCTTTCAAATTCACTAGTCTAATAAAAAATATATTTACGGAAAATAACTAAAATCAAAATTAGGGAGGAAAATTATATAACCAACCACGTCCTTTTAACTTCATGATTTAAAATTTATAGCAAATAAGCACACACCAAGAAATGCATTCATCTTATACCATACCTTTAAAAATTAATATACAGAGATCATAACAACGAAAACATCCTAAAGGCTTTATTACTTAGTCACTAATAAGGTACTCCAAAGGAATGTGAAACAAATCATAATTTGAACAAACAGTACATTTGTAAGCTTCAGAAGATAAAGCATTCCAGAGGACTCTGTTGAAATACATCAATAAATTTGAAGCAGCTACAAGTAAAACATGAGGATAAAATGTATCTACTAACCAGAAAGCCCTGTCTTCAGCATACAAACACAAACCTTAAAATATTTTAAATATAAAACATACAATTAAAATCACATTAACAAACATAAAACAGAAGTATATTAACAGTATTCAGGGTTTCTGTGATTACAGGTTTGATTTCATAAATTCAGAAACTCTAACCATCAAGTAAAGGTTTTTGATAAATCATATTAAAATTTTCTAAAATGTCAAGTGTTATCTAAAGAGTCAAATAAAAACTTAAACTGAAAGGCATCAGTCAAAGTGTTCTTCTTGTGATTTCACCTTTAAATGTACATTTTTTCATTCATATAACTTTCTCAAATGTCTATTTACTATAATTTACTACTACAAGGCTCCTCTATGGCCCTCAGTTACAAGTTTGTATATCCTAGATTCTTCAAAGAAAAAATTTGCCTTGTATGTAAAATGGTGCAATGCAGCAATGGCTAAACCGACAAGGTCATTTTTCTACAGTACAAAAACCTAAAAACTGAAATTTACTGACAGAAAAACTGTAGTTTACAGGAAAGGCCCCTTTGAATAAAGGTACCTTACCTTTTGACTGCTGTAAGAGGCCCTAAGTCACAACTCAACTTTCATAAATTGCTACCAAAAAATTAGGGTGTGGCATATTAGCAATCTCAAGGTCATGCTTTAAAAAACGAATTCAAATTAGAAAAATAGTTATAATAAAACAGACAGTAATCCATGTCTGTCAAGGTAAACAACTGTAAGCTGAGGTTTCCCCCAAAAAAAGACAAAAAGGAAGAAAGTTGATAGCTCATACCTCGATGCATTGCTGTGTAGCGAACTGTCCTCCTCTTGGCTTTTGTCCTTATTTCTCATCATCTTTTAATTCTTAAATATTAAGGGGGAGGGGGAATCTGTGTTTGCTTTGAAGTCCTGTGCCCAGGTATTTACTGTCAAAAGTTGAAAGAAAGGTAAGGTCCCAGCTTCTATCGATGGTTTTTATTATCAGGAACAAAGTCCTGACGATGTTAACGATACTGTTAAAATGCAACAACAGAAAGCACCAAAAAACAAGATAATTCTATTTTTTCCTAAAAAGAAAAAAGACATAGCAGGATAAACCGAACAGTGAAAGCATCACTATCAATAAGGAAAGTTTCTCAAAGTAACACACTGGATACAAATAACAATCTCTGTATCTTATTGCGTCATCCAAGAATTTCTCATATTTACAGAAAACAAAGCAAAGTTTAACATATAAATCTTTAAAATTATCACTAATGATCATGAACTTACCTGATCCATGTAGTATGCCCAAAGCAGGAGTCCCATCTAGTAGTAGAAAAATATCAGATCCCAAATAATTAAAAATAAAGGCAAAATCCTCCGTTAAAAAAACAAAAAATAAATTAAATAATCCTCAAATATGTTAACTCGTCAAAAAAATAAAGTAATAATTAATACCAAAACGGGTCGGAAAGAAAAAAAACCTCATTAGGAGAGCGCACAAAAATGGAGGTGCGCCATGGCTTCTAAGCTGGAAAAAACAACGACCTGGGCTCTCAGTACGGCTGCTTCTTTCCAACAAGGCACGAAAAGAAAGCTCCTAAAAGCTGCTTTTCTCCCTAAAAAAGGTTCGAATCGACCCCAGTAAGTCACTAGGAGAGGCAGGGGGCTGCGGGGGCCCCCTGAGGCTGCCAGAAAGTTAGGGAAAGTTGCGTAAAGTGAGGCAAAGGCAGAGAGCAGAGCGCGCTCTAAGGCACAGCCGCCATCTAGAGCCTCCTTCCCAGCTCTGAGAGCTCTGCCTTTGATTGACACTCTCTACATTTACCCCACAACTCAGGTGATGTACCATAGACCCACCCCTTCATCGCCACCAAAAAAAAAAAAAAAAAAAAAATCCTCCATCCCAGGGAGCTGAGGACCCCCACCCCCACACCTCCCTGCCCCTCAAGACCACCCCAACAGGGGGAGGGGGAGGGCTTCTTAACCCCCTCTGGCTCAAACACCCTTTTTAAGCCAGAGAGAAATGTAATTTGTTCCTTTTGTCTAAAGATCTGCTAAATATTTCAGTCCTTTAGCTAAAATAACTTCCTCCCTGGACAGGAAGTAGTGTTTTATCAAGCCATTTTGAAAAAGGGATAATTCTTAGAGAATTTAAAGCTCAGCTTAAATACTAATCCTTTAAAAAATTAACCCCCTCATGGGTAAAATGATTTCTAAGTAAAAGCAAAACCTTAATATAAATTAAATCAAAGTTTTGCCTTCTTTATGATACCTAAAAAATCACCTAAACCTAAGGTTTAAGGGGAAATTTCTCACCCCAACTGGAAGAAAGGGGTAATTTTTACAACTCAAGAGCGCCTCCCTAGTGTTCAGTTCCATTAGAGCAAAAGTTAATGAAATCAATTTTTACTCAAGAATTTCAAATCTTCTTTATACTTCCACAAAATTCTTTAACCCATTATATAACCTTGAAATTTCTCCCTGAAAAAACTTCTCACAACCACAATATATTTAATCCCCACGCTGATTGATGCAAAACAAAATCAAGGGTATGGACCAACCACAGGCACTTTCCAATCAGAAACCCAAGAAACTCCACCACCAAAACCAATTGGTCAACCCCAACATACCAACACATTCCTTGTATTTCAAATCAAATGCTAAGTATACACCCATTTTAACAATGGTAATAGGTCACATCTAAGGCAAATTACCAAAGTAATGTCACAGGGTAAATTCTCAATATCAAAACCATGACATCTATAGAAACAAAAACTACTAACTCCAAAAGCAATTATTCAGGATCTTCACCAAGCACTCCTTGCAAACAAGTAAACACATTCACCTGCCAAAAAAAAAAAAACTGATCAACTCTCCTTCCTCAACATAATCTGCCAGAACTACATCCTTCCCTGAGGAAATCCATTTTAGATTTATACCCAACAAAAACAATATCCAATATAGGTAAATATAAAACCATTAATCAAAACTGTTTCAATTCCATACTTTCCGAAGGTAACTTTTGTACCAAAATCAAAATCCAACTTTGAATTTATATAAAGACCAACCACATCAGTCAATGAGAACAAATACCGTGCATTTATTGATCATGGATGCATGCCATATTATTTGGCATTAATCACAGTGTGATTATATTAACTATTTCTAACAAAAAAATTTAACCTAAACTAGTCCTAGTTCTCTGTATAACAGGAACATACAATCAGTAATTCATTTGGTTTATCAAAATAAGGCCTATCACCCTTTGTAATAGTTAACTGAAACTGGTATTACCAATAAATGAAAACCTGTAAACACAACAATATGGCATGAAACAACTTATTTATTCTAAATTCCCAATTGTACAGAATAAGGAATATACAAAATATTAATTCTATTTCAAATTTACACAAAATGTTATAGACATTGTCAACAAAATCTTAAGTCCTTTTGTGAATACCCCAAGAATAGTTTCCTATAACCCCACACTTCTCCTAATGTTAACAGGAAACATCAATTTATTTACATATTCAGATGAAATGTCTGCTGCAAGATGTTTTATTTGTAATAAAAAGTGTGAAGTAAAAAGGACCATTTCCATCAACACAAAGTGATTCAGAGAAAAATACTGTATCACTTATCTTGAATTTGGGGGCAACAAGCATTTTTGTTCTAAAAAGTCATTAAAATCTCATTACAAAGATTCTATTATTACCCACTGATTTAAGCTGGTTTTGCAAAGTGTTTCAAGCACAAACAAAATAACATTTCAACCAAAAGACCATCTCAAAGCACAAATAAATTTCCACACAAAGAAAAATATAAATCTTAATCAACCAAGAAAAATCTTTTAGTACACCATTTACATCTTACCAGCTTTATTCAGTACACTTTACCAATGGGCAACTGTAAAGGTCATAGTGTTATCAAAGCAATAACTGAACATTTAATGAAACTTCTCTTTTTTTCAAAAAAAAAAAAAGCCCAAACTGAGAAATTTTAAAGTGTTATAAATTTTATTAAAGTTAACATTCCACAAGGTTGTACTCATACAAATTCAACTGCAAAAAAAATTTCAGACATATAAACTATTGTCTGTTAATGTGCCTTCTTTCTTCTCCAAATGTCAAAAATGTGCTTGTTTTAATGATACAAAAAAGTCTTTAGAAAGTCAAATCCACTGTCCATTTGTGTTGGGTAAGAAACCTATATCTTCATTCATTTCATGGAATCCATGTTAAAAGAACCCTGTCTTGGGTTGAGTATTATCACAGGACTCTTGTATAAATCCATTTCCTCAATTCCCCATAGTGGACTGCCATCTTGATTTCTCAGTGGTAAGGTCCATTTGAGACTCTTCAAGCTGACTGGGTACTTGATGAAAAAATTAAAAGAAAAAAAATGCTGTTGGAATTCTTAATCTTTCAAACAGAAAACATCACCCACCCTGAAGATACCCTACTATACATAAAGCTTTAATTTTGTAACAGCTTTCAACTATGAAACTGTATATTAAAGTTGTATGCAATGGGCTTCCCCAGCAAGCACACAACTTCTTAAGACTGCACACACTAGAGTAACAAAGGTCTTCTACTGTAACAGATACATTTGTATCCATAAAAAACTTGGGTGAAGAGTCAAATTTTTATATTTCACGTTAACATCATTACACTATGTACATAAAAAGTAAAAATATAAATTAAAATTCAAAATTCCTGGAAAGCTAAATTACAGAAAACACTATGGATTCTAAACCTCAACGCAGAAAAGTTTCCAAGCTTCTTCAAAGAAAACTAATTATAGAAAAGAATCTTAAGGGATTAAAAAAACAAAGCAATGGATCAGTTTTCCATCCCAACAGATGCTAATTAATGTTGTTTAGATAACGCACACAGCCAATATAGATGGCACCATCTTTAGTTACATATCTGGAAAGATAAAATATGTAGCCACCAGAAAAAAAAAATCAAAAATGTAAAATATGTGCCTGGCTTCTCTGATTATTTGCCCCCAAATACTATCAGTTTTCAAATTATATACAACTAAATACTTCATTGCCAAAATAGCAAATGTTTCTCATAGAAAAATACATCTATTACTTAAATAATTTTAACTGAACTGAAAGGAGAAGTGGAAAGCCAGGTGATTGTAGCATTAAATTATCCAAATTCATCGAGCCCAAACATAATTTAAATAAATAAAGGGCCTTTCTTCACTTCTCATTAGGTAATTTCCTTGTCTTCTCAATTAACATATAATACAAAACTCCACTTAATAAACTGCAGTCAAGCCTCTGTAAGTTGACCACCCAGGGAACTCTAACAAACTGGTCAACACACGCAAGCGGTTAACGTAAGGAACTAAGCCTACCATACTGATAACATACATGTGATGCGTGTCCCGTCTGTGAAAATTAAGTCAACTTAGGGAGGTGGTCAACTATAGAGGTTCTACTACATTTGTTTAAACAGGAGATATAGCCACCAATATTTAAAAACAATGATGAGAAGGGGTGCCCAGTATCAGTAATCATCAAAAGTAAGGTATTTCTCCTTAACTGATTTTGTAGATTTCTCCCCAGCTTTAAAAGGACAACATTTTAAATAATCCAATGTATTCCCCACATCAGTAAAATATCTTCCATTTGACTTGTTCATGCTTAAAACTAAGGGACTTGTACTTCTATATAGAAGTGTAAAAATAAAATACCATCATTCTCTCAATTGTAAACCAATTTCTTCTCAATTTCTATTGTTCCAGTGAAAGATCAAGCTCTAAAATTTAGAGTCTTAATGAAGATGGTGAGGTAAAGACTATTATGATGAATAACAACACTAAGAACTAATGCACTGGTATCAAATTATAATTATTTCAATAGCTACAGGTACAATTTATTCAATTTGGTTATTTTAAATAATAAGGTCAGTGCTTTATATTCTTCTGCCATTAAGACAGGAGATAAAATTTATCTATGATATTACATGAAATTTCCTTTTAAAACCATTAAAAATATCATAAAAGAAAATCTAACATTAACACCACACTCAATAAAATGTAATGGTTTGTGGGACAATGATTAGAAAATAGGATATTATCATGCTATCTCACGAACCACTAGGTATTCAAGACAGTAAAAAGACAGAAAGAAAAGAGAGGAGCCCTACATGAGAAATCAGAGAACTCTTAGGACATTAAAAACATTGTTGATTATACACTCCTGCAAAGCCAATCCACAGCCAAAATAAAGAATTCTGTTAATAAGCACAAGTGCTCAGACAAGTGTGAAAGCTGGTAAAAATTCAGTGAGGGATTTAGGAATAATCCTATAGATTTCCAAATTCTTATAAAAATCAAGTTTGCAAATAAGCAAAGTTATGTTAAAAAATAAAGACATCAGGTAGACTTCTGTGAGCCTGAATTATTTTCTTAGAAACAAAAATCCGAAGTTCTTCATCTGCAAAAAGGAAATAATGACAGTACCTACCTCTTGTGGCAGTAATGAGGATTAAATGAGTTAATACATGTATAATACATTGCCTTACTTATAGAAAGATCTCAATAAATGTTAACTATCAAATGATAGTACCTGGGGATCTATAAACTAATCATACTAATCAAAATAATTTATGTTCCAAGAGTAAGAATCTCTGAAGAACATACAGGGTCATAGGGTCAAAATAAAGATAAAAGAGTGAAAGTAGTCTTAGATTAAAAAAAAAAAATCAGAATCCTACAGAAAAATGGGGTTGGGTTTAGCTATCAAATCCTTACTCCACTTCCCTCTCCAGTAATTTCTGAATTACTACAGATATACTAAAGAGATGTTTTGATCTAGAATTCCATAATCATACCTAGATCTTTTATGCATTTCTCACAGAAGGCTCAAGCTCATACAAATGGGTAGAATTTTTCCACATTGGTATTTATTACTACGATGAGTAACTGCTACCTTCTAAAATTCCCCAAAATCATATATCCAGAAGTTAAGAACATAAAACTAAGCATGGAGTTCTTTTTAAATTCTATGTCAGTAAATTTGTCCAAAAACACTGGGACCTCATAAAATACACTGTTAGTTGAAATACAGATAATTCATCATCTGGATTGGGTTTAAGAAGGACTTCCCTAAACTAGTTTCCTTACCTTTATTTTTCAGCAAACTCTTCCATTTTAATACCAAAGAAAAATATGAGGGGCAAAGAGCCATAAGGAAAAACAAATGATTTATTATTTTGTTTAATGGATGGCTCTAATAAAGCTATTATTAATAAAATTTACATTTTAAAAATTAAACACTTATTTCAAAACCAAGAGAACAGGAACAAAATTATAGCCTAACACAAAAATTCCTTCTCATCATAATGAAGATGACAATTTCAAATTTGTTGTCTTAAATTTGAAAACATTTATGTACGAAAGCCTTGATTAACTTCACATGTTTTATCTTATAAAAATAGCTTGAATCTTCAATAGAATATATACTAACAAGGATCTTAATTAAGATGTACATAAAATCTAAATATAAAATGAGCAAGGTCATAATTACAATTACTCTGAGAAAAGTCATCTTATTTAAGGTTTTTATAATCAAATCTCCCCAACTGTCCCTACTAATTTAAAACTTGACCATGTATTCAAGTCATGAGACTGAGAATTACAGAGAAAAGGGATTCTCATCAACTTTTATTTTTATTCAACCAAAATTCGGCTTTCAGGCATATTCAAAACTTAATACGTTAAAATCTTGTTTTCATAATGAATTTCACATTTTTTTATTAGACCCAATACATTAATGATAAACAAGTCTAACAGAAGCCGTATTTATAAAATAAATCAAGTATTTTTTGAGCATCTACTATACGCCAGGCAACTAATCTCCTTAAAATGTGACCACAGCTAATAACTGTACTACATTAGGAAGGTTTTCATCTCTAACCCTCACCATCCTTCTATCAAAAAACAAAAAACATAGCCAGGTGTTGTGGTGGGCACTTGTTGTCCCAGCTACTCGGGAGGCTGAGGCAAGGGAATCGCCCAAGCCCAGAAATTGGAAGTTGCTGTGCACTCTACCATGGGCCATAAAGTGAAACTCTGTCTCTACAAAAAAAAAACCTACTTTGTAGACTCCAATACTCATTTGTATATCACAAGCTGAAGAATAAGCAAAAATTATCATCTAGATTCCCAAATGTATTCAAAAAGATTTTTACAACGTAACTGTTATATCATAAAAGTTCGATAATTAAGACAGCACCTATAGCTCAGTGGGCAGGGCGCCAGCTCCAGCCACATACACCGAAATTGGTGGGTTCATACTCAGCCCAGGCAAACTAAACAACAATAACAACTGCAACAAAAAAATAGTCGAGCATTGTGGTGAACACCTATAGTCCCAGCTACTCAGGTGGCTGACGCAAGAGGATGGCTTGAGCTCAAGAGTTTGAGGTTGCTGTGAGCTGTGACGCCACTGCACTCTACCCAGGGTGACAGCTTGAGACTCTATCTAAAAAAAAAAAAAAGTTCTAATAATAAAAAGTAAATTCTTCTGTCTTGGCGCCTATAGCTCAAGCGGCTAAGGCGCCAGCCACATCCACCAGAGCTGGCAGGTTCAAATCCAGCCTGGGCCTGCCAAACAATGACCTACAGCCAAAAAATAGCTGGGCGTTGTGGCAGGCGCCAGTAGTCCCAGCTACTCATGAGGCTGAGGCAAGATAGTCGCTTAAGCCCAGGAATTGCAGGTTGCTGTGAGCTGTGACGACACAGCACTCTACCGAGGGCGATGACTTGAGCCTGTGTCTCAAAAATAAAAAAAAAAATAAATTTAAAAAAAGTAAATTCTTCCAAAAAAATAAGTAAATAAGTTCTTTTTTGTGAAGTCATTCTAATTCATTTATGCAATCTTCCCACCAACTCCTTCCCACTATTTCTCAGGCTGGGAGTTAGAAAACTATTCCACAGAGGTAATAACCGTTATCTTCTAACTTCAAAGCACAACCTCATTGTCAAGCTGAAGAACTTTTTGTGAGCTTTCAAGTTTAAGGTAAGTTCGAAAGTAATTTAAGTAATTACAACACTGGAAGTCATTAAAAAGCATGCTCCATAACTAAAAGAGAACTCAAAAGACTTCTGAGCTCTAGATAGGTAAGGTAAAGTTGACAAAGGAAGTAGATGTAAGATCTAAAGCAAGCTATCCTGGCCATGTGGTACACAATTCTGCCAGTGTTCGGAAACCAGAACACAGATGTGTTGCAATAAAACTTTATTTACAAAAATAAGCAGGAGTTTACCAAAACCCAGATCTAAGAATGTTAAAAGCATGTCAAATATGTTTGTTTATATTTTAACCTTGCCTGAGTTTAATGAAGCAGAAAACAGGATGGACAAAATTAATAAGCAAAGTTATTAATAAACTATCACCAAAAAAAAACCTTTACCACCCAATCTAACCATGGTAATTTTCTTTTGTGTTGAGCTTTGCTAAATCCCTTTATACATGTACAATCCTGACTCAATTACTCAAAATTTCTACAGCATTATTAAAAACATGAAAATAGATTAAGCATGCAAAATTGAGTAATACTTACTAATTCCTTCTACCAGTGTCTACTATGTAGTACAGGTCCTTTAAAGGATTCAGTCTGGGGATTCACGTTTCTGCAGAGGACAAAAATATAATTTTATATATAGAAAACAAAAATAGATTATTAAACAATATGATTTACTCAAACTTCAACATCTTGCAAAGATTACCAGTAGACCAAGAGATACATGTATCTATGAGTAATATAGTCTAAGGCTATAGACTCTAAGCAGAAGACATAAAAGCTCTGAGACCACCTTCAATTTACAGCTGTAGAAGAGGCTCACTTGCAGAATGTTTACCATAAAATCACAGCTTAACTCTCAACCCCTGAGAACTCCAAAAGGATAGATATCTGGGGCTCCCTGAGAGGATGTGATGGGAAGCCAGAGTTAGAAACTCGCTGGTTAATAGAGCCAACATCATTCCTTAACAGTACACAACAGTTTTATCTCTGGTCTTTCATCTGATCTAATTTCAACACTTCTAAAGGAAAGCTTCCATTACTCACCTATAAGGCCATTTTTCTCACTCTTTAATATTACCATATTATTTTACACTATTACATACTTTGATCAACACTATTTTTAATGTTAGGAAGAAAACATTCGGCATCATTTCATACTACTCCTAACTGTATGGATCTTACTCACCTGAAGTAACACCAATCCTTTCTAAAGTACTTGATAAAAATAATTGTATCCATTTCACTAGACTTAAATACCTCAAAACTAAACATAAAATGAGGTATGCTTCCCATATTTCAAGTGTCTTCTGAATACAAGCAGACACTTTTTTTTCCCCAGTCACTCCTGTTCCCAAATATATGATGATCACTTTAAAAAGCTGCTTAGAGCCAGGTGAGGTGGCTCATACCTATGATCCTAGCACTCTGGGAGGCCAAGGCAAGTGGATCACTTAAGCTCAGGGGTTCAAGACCAGCCTGACCAAGAGGGAGACCCTACTCTGTCTCTACTAAAAATAGAAAAATTAGCTGGGCACTATGGCGGGTGTCTGTACTCCCAGCTATTTCGGAGGCTGAGGTTGGCTCATCCTATGAGCTAGGATGCCATGGCACTCTACCCAAGGTGACAGAGTGAGACACTGTCTCAAATTTTAAAAATAAGTAAGTTGTTTCAAAGTTCAATATGAAAATGTAACAACTTAAGGTTTTTATAAGGCAAAACAGCAGCAAAGTCTTTAGGATTTAAGTTACAATTAGTTAGCCAAATGTTTTTGTAGGACTAGTTTTCAAATTATACAGCAACTCAATGTTTATCTTATTAAATCTAAATCCCTTTAGACATTTTTGGCAAATCATAGTCAAGAAACATAGGAAAGATCTTCCAAATTTAATATCACCTTATAAGAGAGAATTATGTGAATAAGGACAAATCTTAACTCAGTCAAGTAAAATAAAATGATTTAAACCTTAAGAGAGGAGCAGAATTGACTTAAGCAATCACAGTATAACAAACATCTAAAGGAAATCCTTCACACTGTTCTGATAATGCGCTTACAAATTAAGTTACCTAACTACAAGAAGTATATATCTCTGGGTTTCCACACCACCAAATACAGAAAGTGAATTTCATTTCTCAACACCAAGAAAATTATTGACACTAATGTAGTTTAGCGTAACAACTTCTTCCCCCAAATTGACAAAGTCTGAAACGCTACTTTGCCATCTTTAGATGGGGAGAAGGCAGCAGGGTTCAGTGTAAGACTATGAAAGATGATGAATTTGCCGTTTCCACCTGGCCTTAATATTTTGCAGTATTACAGTTTCTGATATACTAATAAATTACAGGTATAAATATGTTTATAATCATTATGGGTGCTGCTCCTTTTACAATATAAGGCAAAGACAGCTTGAGTCAATATTATCATTGGCCTATTTGCACTACTGTCAAAATATTTGGTTTTGTCATCTTTTAAATTCCTTAAAACAATTTTAAAATTTAAGAATATGAAATGCAAGAAATCTGCAAAAAAACAGGGTAATTATAAAGTCATTAACATTTCTAAAAATTGACAAACCTCACAGTTAAAAAATACACAGCTTGGATAATCTAAAATAATGAAGATTACTATGTAGTATACATTTATGATGTAATTACTTATTTGGGAAATACTCAATTTCAAGTATATGGGTTAGTTTCAAAAGGCAAAGGAATGTTTCCCAAATGTTCTCCAGTTCCATCAAGCATTATGTAATGTATGAATCAAAATTTTTATATTATAGAAAATACGCTACTTGAATGTTAGGTTAATGATCAAGTCAAATATATTTATAACATAAAGATCAGAATATCCTTCAATTTAAATTGTAAAGGTTAATCATATTCAGAAGTAATATCCAATTTGAAAATAGCTTAAGTTCGCACTGAACCATTTAATATAGAAAGGGCCAGTCGTTGGCAAAATGAGGATATTTATCTTTAAATTTAGAAATTTCTTGAAGAAAATTAAAAAGATGAGATTAGGCGTTCAAACTATAAATCCTCTTTCTTGTTTATAACTGTGGTCAGCTGAAATATTACATGTAAATACACAAAATGCTTTCATTGCAGAATGCTAAATCTTTATTGTTCTAAGACAGTATTACCCTTTAACTGCTTTGCTAAGATCAATTTTTCAACGTCTGTATAATATTAATACTTTGAATACCGAAAAATCAATTTAGTATACTATCTGTTACAGGTCTTATGTTATTCCAATAGTCACAGAAATAACACCATGTTATTTGCAATGCAAAAGTCACAAAGTTTGTATAACAGAATTAGATACTCAATTATTTTTACCACACAAATGAAGAATGTTAACAGACTGGAAACTCTGAAAGCCTTCATACAAGTTAAGAGATTTCCTAGAGAATAAAATGTTAAGATTGCAGGGCTTATTATTTACATTACAAGCTGGGTCTCCTGATTACTAAATCACAGTTATACATTTTCCACTGATTAAAGCAGAAGATAGAGATGTCCTCCAATTGTTTCTCTCCCTTTCCATAAACAATAAAATCTCAAAAAAATTAAATAAATTGGTTGCCTGTAGTCCAGATCTTTTTTTTTTGGAGATAAGAATCTCACTGTGTTACCCTCGGTATGGTGCCACCTCAAACTCCTGGGCTTAGGTGATTCTCTTGCCTCAGCCTCCAGAGTAGCTGGGACCACAGGCTCCCGCCACAAAGCCCAGCTATTTTTTGTTGCAGTTTGGCCAGGGCTGGGTTTGAACCTACCACCCTCGCTATTTGGGGCCAGCACCCCATCCATTGAGCCACAGGCACCACCCTGTAGTCCAGATCATTAAATAATCAAGAAACTATAAAAAATAAGTAAACAAATTTGAAAAAATATTTATATCTGTAACTGCCTATTTCATATAACCTATACCCTGAATGTCAAGTAATAGTTCACAAAAGCCTGTGATTCTTTCATGGCTCCTTTGATTTATTTCTATGGGATGTAGTAATTTTTTAAATAGTTTTTATCAGAATTACAAATGTAATCCAACCCAATCACCAAGGTGATCAGGAGATTTTTATGTTTCAAGAATTAGTCCGAAATGCTAAAATAAATAGATTTCAGTATTTATACAGTAAACAGTGGTAATTAATAATTCACTTTTCTTATGAAATATACTACTTGAAAACAATTAGTATCTACATTATCTTCTATATTTATCTTCTATAGTATTATCTACCTATAATAATCACTACATATACATTTGCCCTAAGGTACCAGTAGCCATCAATTTTGTCCATTATACAAAACTGGTTCAAGCAGTATACATCACAAAACCAAATGTTAACACTGTCATAAAGAACTTAGTATGTGTCAATATTTATAAAACATACTATATTCTAATCCTATATATTGTTGGTGATAAAAAGTTATATTCCATTAGACTTGAGGATTAGAGGTTACTGTATCATATTTTTTTAAATTACTGATACTAAAAGGATTTAAAATCTTCATTTAACATTTCTAGCCTTCAAGTTGTTCATTTTTTCCTTTTTCACTGATCAAATCATACCTTTCTTAGACCATTATAAATTGCATACTTGTACCTAAACTTACATAAGCTTCACACAAGAAACCCAATTCTCAATTTCTAACAGTGACAACACCCATGAAGGCCAATTTAATGTCATTCAAAGTACACAGAGGAAATCTTAATCTCGGCATCTGTTAAAGAACCTTACAGTGAAAGATGGTTTGACTTTTTTTGTAAACATCTTTAAAACATTATAGTTAATTAACGTTTTTCCTTCCGCACTACAATAAACACAAATTTGATGAAAATACAAAAAAGATTAAGAGAAGTTAAACTGAAGAAAAGGCATTAAAAATATTCCTCTTCCCACCTATTTCAGTTAATACAATTAGCCAACACCGAACAATAACGATTACATTTTATTTTCCACATAAATTTCAGAGACAAAGGCAAACTTGAGCTCTTATGTGGGAATTGCAAAAATTTCCCAAACATCCCATATTATATTACATATTTCCTATGGTTAGTCACTCCCAACAGCTTAACATTAATTTCTAGATTCAATGTTAATTTATAAGATTTTTTCCTTAAAATATCAGTGGACTTTTTTTCATTTACATATCCAGTTTTAAATGTCAACTGTTATACATATGGTATACTAAGCCCAATACTTACTGTGCTTGAAAATTATTTCTACCTTTTGTGTTTTAAAAATGATTACTAAGGTATAAATTGAAGGCTCTTTGGTTATATTACAATTTGCTAGAAAACAATTTACTTTTATACCTGTTTGAAAATAACTCATGAAAACCAGTAAAATGAGTTATTTTTAATCTATTAAGTAATAACTAAGATATAGAAGTTTCTAGTTTTTGAAATGTAGTTCTTTTAAGAATCCTGTGACTAACAAATGCAAAATTCTAAGCCACTCCTAAATGTAATCTGTATTATCAGAAAAATAGCTTAAAAATATATATACCAGATTGTAAAGATATAATTCTAATGAGTGTACTGTCGATTTAATCACAATCCTAAAGCATGATTTTATTGAGAACTACTAAATGTCTTCCTGCCTGATATAAATCACATGCATGACTGTTTTAAAAATACAAGTATTCTGATGTAAAGCAAGGGAATATGATGAGTTTTCCCACATCTTTTTAGAGATAAAAAAATAGTCTACAGTTTGTTTTGCTGACAAATTTTACTGATATTTTCCTACTTAAATGTTGATAGCTATTCTATTTCAGATGCTGGGTAAAAAAAAATTACTTACTTGCTTTACAAAATACACACTTTCCTAAAGATTTCCTTTATCATCGAGGTCACAACTCCCATGTCTCAATCTTCAAAATGGAATACCTTTTGGTGAAAACAAGCAAGTAAGATTCAAAATAACTTAGTGATGAAACAATCAGCAAATGGATAAAAATACTTTTAAACCTAATCTTACAAAAGAAATAACTAAAATCTATGCTAAAACCTGTTTTTTCAAATATTCTTCCCTAAACCTGTTAGTATGAATAGCAATACAGTTTAAATTTTCCAATACATTTCTTCAAATATTTTTTTACATGGCATATTTAAGAATTAAAGAGGAAAATGATGTATCTTTGGTTCATGATTTTCCTCAAAATATAAACAATCTTCACATGCTCCCAAATTTGAACAAAGGCTTAAAGGACCTTCAGTATTTAAAACTATTCAAAAGGGTACATTAAGTTACTATGGCTATACATAGAGGTTAACTCTTTCATTCAATGAAAAGTTTAACGGCTCTGTAAAAATTATCTCAGATATTTATGCATATTCACAATCACTACCTTTTGAAAATCATATGTAAGTATTTATTGGTTATTTGAAATATAAATTATTAAGAGCAAAACAAAACCTAAGCTAATTTTC